GTATCGATGGATTTGATCTAAATTGTAAAAGCGCTATAGAAATAAAGATGAATTGAATTGAATATTGTGATTATGAACAAATTATTTTATATATTATATTATAATTTAAAATTTAAATTTTTAAAAACATTATTTTTAATTCAGCACTGCATTTTGACAATAATATATGTAAGATAAGCACAGCCATCAAATATGTCTATCTAGCACATGCCTACATAGATCAAAAAGAAAAAAAGAAAATCAATGAAATGCAAAACTGACCCCTTATAGACTGCATTGTTTTAACTTTACCAAAGCAATGTGTTAAATAACACACACAGCTTTATTAAAAAAAGAGTTTGAAAGTTTCATGTGCGTCAAAAATGAGCATTCTTAAATACTGTACCACTTCCATATGCTTGATATCTTTGTATGTTTATGAAAAAAAAACTGATCAAAATACGTGATTTGAAAGCATAATGAGTTTACACCAGCCTGGCCTGGTGTTTTTAATGCCGCTAATCTGTGTCTTTGTAAGTGGATCCACCAGCACACATCCTCTAAACCCCTTTAAACTCTACAGACAGGGTCTAAACCTCCAGGACTCCTTGGCTACAGCAGGCCGCTAGAAGACTAATGGGTTTGCATCCAATTACACAAATGTAAATAAACATCAGAATGAGAAAATTCCAGACGCATCCACCATCGAGTGGGTCGGAGAAAAGCCCAAACGCAATCTCAGTGGGCTGGAGATGAAAACGCAGCTCTCATTACGGTCTGAGCTGGAGTTATGAGGTGGGGATGGCGGTGTGTGTTTGCGCTTTGGGGGGGGCACTGGGTTTTTTTTTTTTTTATTGGGGAGGGGGGTCACACACAACCAGCGTCTTTGTGTGGCTCTAATCCTCCCAGCCAACACAGCTTTGGCCAGGTTTCATCATGAAAGTGCCATGAAATAACTACTTTTTTTTCTTAGCAGCAAATCTCCACTAATCCCACAGGCTGAAGAGACAAAGGCTTCTGGGCTCTGAGCTCCAAGCTTTTAATGGGGTTCAGAGGCTGCTCAGCTAAGGTTCTTCTAAATGACTTATTTTGAGCGGACACTAATACAGCTTGACAGGCAAGAACATCGCAAAGGAAGAAAAAGGCAGAGCCTTGAAGGCAGGGAGAAAAAGTTCAGCAACAATCATTCTGTGATGGGCTGAAAGGTCAGTCAGGTGTGAAAATATCAGAAATGGAGGGAAGTGTTGGTGTTGATGAGCTGTTGCTTAAATAAAGCAAACAAAACAAGTCAATGTGATGTAAAATGTGAAAACTCCAAGCTTTAAAAAGAGTTCACAGTTGGCTCTGTTTCATCAACAAATGTTTATTTTTAAACAGTTTTTGGCTCACGTTTGGAAACTAATTTCACTCTTTTTAAAGACGACTGATGCACAGATTGGAATCAACTGGAGTGGAGATGTAAAATATACTGGGATGGGGAAATGGTGTCATTCATTCATTCACTTTTCTTCGGCTTAATCTGTTTATTCATCAGAGGTCGCCACAGTGGAATGAACCGCCAACTTATCCAGCATATGTTTTTACACAGCGAATGCCCTTCCAGCTGCAACCCAGTACAGGGAAACATCCATTCACACTCATTCACACACACACACACACACACTATGGCCAATTTAGTTTATTCAGTTCACTTATAGTGCTTGTCTTTGAACTGTGGGGAGAAACCGGAGCATTCGGAGGAAACTCACGTGAATACAGGGAGAGCATGCAAACTCCACACAGAAGTGCCAACTGACCCACTTGGGACTCGAACCAGTAACCTTCTTGCTGTGAGGCGACAGTGCTAACCCCTGATCCACTGTGTCGCCTGGAAATGGTGTATGGCCACTGAAAAAGATGGGCACTGTATCAAAACTTTGCTGCATTAAAATGGAAATGGTCAACCCTTAAAACATACTTTAGTGAAAGTAGAAAAAATGTTTACATTTAATTGTAATAAATGTAAACTATTAAACATTAAATTGAGCAATAGGGTGGCTCGGTGGCTCAGGTTAACCCGGTTGCCTCACCGCAAAAAGGTTGCTGGTTTGAGTCCTGGCTGGATCAGTTGGCATTTCTGAGATTGCAAGTTCTCCCCGTGTAGGCGTGGGTTTCCTCCGAGTGCTCCAGTTTCTCCCACAGTCCAAACACATGCGGTAAAGGTGAACTGAATAAACAAAATTGGCCGTAGTGTACTAGTGCGTCCCAGTACTGGGTTGTAATAAATAAATATATAGATATAATATAAATTATATATATATATATATATATATATATATATATATATATATATATATATATATATATATATATATATATATATATATATAAAGGATACAATTAATTGTAACTAAAAAACACTAATTTTACTGCATTTTCAAGAAACATTTCTTTAAATTATTAGTGTTAAAAACATTTCACTGCTAAATATTCTTATTAAAAGGCACCTATTTTACCCATTTTATAAGATGTAAAATAAGCCTTTGGTGTTTCGAGAATGTGCCTGTAAAGTTTCAGCTCAAAACACCCCTCAAAACACCATTATTTATTATAGCCTCCAGAATATGCTCAGTTTGAGGTCTGGTCAGAATGTAGCTGTTTTTGTAGCCTATGGCGTTAAATGCAAATGAGCTGCTTCTCCTCACCTGCTGATCCCACGTGTGTGTCTGCTTCTCCAGCGTTACAGCAGATAAACAGCAGTCAGTGACAGAGACAGACTCGGATGAAGCTGAAATACAGTTCATTGGACAAAAATACCAAGTTTATTTCATGTATTTGTGGTGGACTTTATTCAAGCCTTTCCGAAATGATGAGTCTCACATGCATGACACCATGCGGCTGTGGTGATTGTAGCGGTTAAGAATTACAGTGATTTTACTGTCTTTATTAAACAAGCTCTGTTTTAAAAAAAGTTTAAAACTTATAAAACTTATAGAAATCGCAGAGAGTGTTAACAGATATTTTAATCCAAGTTAAGTTGAAAAAGAAAATGTTATGTGGACATGTGTATACATGTTATTATAGAAACATGGCACCTGTCAATCAATTCAGAAAACCACACTCCTCTACGTCACGTTGTGGTGAGCCTCAAAATCACTGGCATTTGGGTCCTATTTTAACGTAAGGAAATTTTTAAAAAGAGACTTAGGTTTCTATCACACCAATAAGACAGTGGACACACTATACATATACAGAGTTCTTTCCAAACAGCTTACAAAACTTGATTTTCATCATAGGTGCCCTTTAAATTTTCACTGCTAAATGAATCTTTAAATATAGCTATAATAATGCAAATTTGTAAAAATGCTAATTTTGTGTTAACAGTTTTGCTCCTAAATATTTTGTAGGATCCAATGATGAATAGAAGGTTAAAAAGTACAGCATTTTGTGTGTGTGTGTGTGTGTGTGTGTGTGTGTGTGCGTGCGTGCGTGCGTGCGTGCGTTTGTGTGTGTGTGTGTGTGTGTGTGTGTGTGTGTGTGTGTGTAACAATATAAATATTTAAAAGAAATTGGTTTAATTCAGCAAAGTATACTATAAAATAATGCTTTTTGAACTGAGCACAACCCAGTGCTGGGTTGCTGCTGGAAGGGCATCTGCCATGTAAAACATATGATAGATATGTTGGTAGTTCATTCCCCTATGGTGAACCCTGATGAATAAATTAACTAAGCTGAAGGAAAATGAATGAATGAATGAATAAATAAGCTGTGCTTTAAAGTTAACGAACATGAAAGTTAAATGAATATATTCTTGGCAGAAGATTACCAGAACATTTTCCATTTTTAATGATTCCTATTAGGCTATTGTTTTTACAGCGTAGCATTTACTTCCATTTCACTAATAATCCCACAATATTCTACATTCAGAAACTTTGTTGTGAAGATATAGAGATCTCACTGTGCAAATCTGCTTTCCTAATGAATTCCCTGACTGTATAGGTCCAAACAAACAAACCATTCCAGCAGCAAAGTGGATATAAAAGTGAGCCAAATGTGAGGTGAAGCTTGTGTATGTGTGCCAGTCTCATGCCAGTGTAGTCCAGCTCCTGTGTACACACACACACACACACACACACACACGCACACACTGAGGAGTGCGCAGTGGCCCTGATACTCGTGGGAAACATAATCTAGCTCTCCACATGCCTCGCCTTCCTGGCCCTGAGCTGCACAGTGTCAGGATTTAGCAGAATTTACATCTCTGAACCTCCTGAGCCGCTCCCAGCCGCTCGGATGATCTGATGTGAGGTGACTGAGGTTTCAGCTGGAGCTAAACTGCAGCTCGAGCTCAATGAGAGAGGGTGTTGAGAGATGCATGATGGGATAATGACAGGGGATGACGTGCAGATTGCTTGATACATTTGCTTCATAAACGTCTTGTTGACTTGCTGCATAATAACAACCACTTTAGATGTAGACTGCACATTGCTCGGCTTATATGTCTTTCATTTGACTGAGAATTTTATTTATTTTCAGATGCTAATAGCTTAAATCCTTCTTTTTTGAGAAGATTTCTGGTACATTTAGCCCCAAGAAATCACCCTAATAGGCCACTTGCAGAGTGCATTCTCAAATTGACATTTTCTGGGCAAAATATGGGACCAGTTAGCAAAACAAACCAGCCGAGCAAACACCCCCCTCAGAGTTAATACTAACAAAAGCTGGGGACCGGCGGAGAGAGAAGGAAGAGAACAACGGACAATCAAAGGCTGTTATTTTAATCTGCCCAACCCCAGAGATTAGCCGGCCACATTGTTTTAATTGTTTTAAAGGGGGGAGTGCAGCTCGCCCGCTCATTGAAGGGAGATGCTTTGCCTAAATCTCCCAAGTTCAATAGTTTCAAAAACTTGAGCCCCTCCAAACCCCCCTTTCTCTCCCTCATCCCACTTAATCCAGGCTAATACCTTTCTTTCTATTGGCTAATGGTTGGAGGAAGCTGAAGTTAATGCCTCTTAAATAGTGGAAACTGAGCTGGAGGACCTAAACCACAGTCAACGTAGAGCACTACAGGTCTGGCTTTAGTCAAAGAAACTTCATTGTAATATTTTGTGGATTTTACCAGCCTCTTTGAAATGTTTGTTTGGGATAGGAGCATCAAAATCAACTAGCTGTTGCCTGCATCTATTTACCTCAACCTGCTGACGTCCACAGTTCGTTGAAAGTGGTGAGTTTTCATTGTGTTGTTTACTTATAGAGACTGATTGTTTTAGTATGCGCACACTCACACGTTGTATCCTCTCAGTCAGCAGAATGAATTCTGTGTATTTCTGTGGAGCAAGAAATGGCCAGGGGGGGTTTCCGTTGCAGCGCGTCGGTTCGTTGTTTCAGGAGTCTCCCCAGCAGATGGCGCAGCGGTATCAGGTTCACTCAGCGGCCAGTCCGGCGTCCGTACAAACCTTCACGGTGGCGGAGCGGCTAGCAGGTGAGACGGAAACCATGCACACTGATAGATTAACACGAAGAACGGATTAAAGCTGCATTAAACTCATTGAAACTTGTTTCGGCGGCAGATTTGTAGACCTTTTAATATTATAGGCCTAAGCGTAAAAAGAAACAATGTAGACTTTGATACAGTTTGATACATGTTTAGTGAATCAAACAATTAATAGTATCAAACAACGAAAGTAAAGTAACAAAGTAGTTAATGCATTGAGTTAAGCGTGAAGTTTTAAAGCTTTTTCCATTTTCTTGCCAGCCTACCAAAATATATTTTAGTTTTATTAAACATAAATGAATACAATTTAATAAAATAAAAGGTCAAATTTACAAATAATAACTTTTTTCATAACACAAATGTGTTTAATTTTAAGATATTAGACCTACACTTTGAATCACTATATAAAAAAGTTTCATTTGTTAATATTAGTGCACTATCCGTCATAAACTATAATAAAGAGTTGTTAACCACAGTAAAAAGTAAATGTTTAACTAACGTTCACATCAATTTTAATTTGATGTTAGAAAATAAAACCCTATTGCTTAGATTTACTGCAGTCTTTAAAGATTATTATAAAAATATATTATAATAAAAATAGAAGGTTATAATTGTAAAACAAATTATATAGGGTTTATACATTAATATATATATATAAACTACCGGTCAAAGGTTTGGGGTCAGTAGGATTTTTAAATGTTTTAAAATAAGCTTCTCCAACTTAACTTCAACGCTGCATTTCTTTCATCAAAAAACTGTACAAATTGTAAAATTGTGAAATGTTATTGCACTATGAATAAACTGTTCAAAAGTAGTTTATCATTTAATTAAATAATTTATTCCAGTGATTTTAATGATGAATTTTCAGCTTCATTACTCCAGTCTTCAGCTGATTCTTCAGAAATTACTCTAATATTAGTTATTATTATTGTCATTATTATTATTAACATTTTTATTATTCAGCAATAATGACTGGAGTAATATTTTTTCATTTAATAAATCCTGCCTTGATGAGCAGAATTATTTTATTAAAAAAAAAAACATGAATAAAAAACTGACCCCAACCTTTCAACTGCTAGTGTATGTATGTATATTTGTATATATAATATATAAACAAACTATTGTGAAATACATGCAGCTGTTTGAAATGTAATATCCTACATTATTTATTTGCATAAGCAAAGTTGTACAAAGTTAAATCATAATACTTGTTTATGCTACTTTTTTAATTAGTTTAACTTTTGGTTTATTTTCACATAGGTAAACTTTATGTTGTTTCATTTTCATCATTTCACTCATTCAAATATTAATTTTTTTATTACTCTTAAAACATCTACAAATAAAGGTGAAAACATCTAAACCAGTTAAGTATTAATGCTATGTATCATGAATTACAAGCAACTAATAAATGATATCTTCTTGTTGTAGAACTTATCCTTGAGGCACGCTACGGGAACCAGCAAAAGCAGCGACGCAGTCGCACAGCTTTCAGCGTGTCCCAGTTACAAGCCCTTGAAAAGGCTTTTCAGCAAACCCAATATCCAGATGTGGGCATGAGAGAGAGACTAGCGGTCTGCATCAACCTCCCAGAGGCCCGAATCCAGGTGAGAGCCTTACGAACATCACCAACATCCAAACAATAAAATTAAACCTGGCACCATAGATTAACAAAGCATGTTTCTTCAGGTGTGGTTCAAAAACAGACGTGCCAAATTTAGAAAAGGTCAACGCTTCGCACCTATTCCAAAAGAAGAAAGCCAAGTGCATCGCTCTGCAACTAAACAACGGAAAGAACTGGTGAAGGATCAAGAGAAAACCTATAATTCTAAACCTCAGTCCTCTATTAGGGAAAACAACCCCATTTCTTTATCAGCAGACTCTGTTCAGCTTCATTCCCACCCCAGACTGCACTCCTCCGCTGTTCTTCCATTCATCACTGCTGAACATTTCCAACAACCAATGCCTCATGCACTCGGCCTTCTGTCTGCAGGTCTGCCATTCTCTCCTACATATGTACCTATAATACATCAGCAGCACAACACAGGCATCGGTCTTGTTCCATTGGGGAAATCCAGCAATCTCATGCTTCAGTCTGCCTGTCAATCGAAATCAATGGTTCACCGACATTTGGACATATAGTGGTATCTCCAAAAAATGCTCACTGGGATGTGAAAAGCGGACAGGCTTTCATGTTTTACAGCAGTTTTTATGAGGCATTTACACAACAATATTTTTCAAACTGCAAATTTATAGGGTGCACTTTATTTTATAGCATGTGTACTTACAGTGTATTACCTATGAAATGACTGGGTAATGTTAAGGTTAGGTTCAGAGGTAGGTTTAGGAATAGTACCCACTTTATGTAATGACTATAAAAGCACATAGAATGCACATGGAAAAAAGGTCTAAAATAAAGTGCTATCAACAAATTTTATTCGTTCAACATTTGAAAACAGGTTTCAAAATTTAAGTTTTTAAACAATTCTGTTATTGTTTTTATATAAACAACAATAACACATTTTTGTGCAAATGGTGAGGTCGTGTAAGCATATTACATGTTCAATGCTTAGAGTTCTTGACAACCAAAACAGCAATGGTGGACTATGATCATGTGCACAAATGCCTGGTCACCCTAGTGTTTTTAAAAAAATGCCATTGCCAACTAGGCCTATCATGATATGCATTAACAAAAAACATCATTTTAATATGTTTGCTGATCAGTGTGAATGAAAAACTTTCTAAAATGCAAAGAAAATTCTTATCTTCTTATAGTACATTTCTTCATTTAAGCACACCTTTGGAATAACAGAAAGGTTTGGATTTGTATCTTTTTTGTATTTTTATAAGTGTTTTTTATTGTGTATGATTGACTTATTTTGTCACCTTTCATGCTCTGCTTTGCATAGCTTAGAGCATTGTTAAGAACGATTGTGTTGCACACACGTTTGAGCACTTTGTAGATTTTTATGAAAATTTGAATACAAATAAACATGAAAAACTTCTTAATCGTTTGTATTCAATCTTACTGTGTGCTTGCATCATGACTTCTGTGAAATCCAATTGTGGATTGCACGTTTGATCTTTATTTTTGTCAAAATGTGGACTATTATCAGCATTAACTTTTAGGTTATTTTTTATGTGCACAGTTACGTTCACATTTATTTCATGTATTTAGGTAAACACCTGCTTCAAATTATATTGCTTTTAAATAACCCTATTAATTGGGTGTTATCAACTGATATGGGCTAGTAGGGGCGTTTTGCACCTACCGGTAGGGGTAGACGTTAATAAAATACAATTAATGGGAAATTTAATAAATAATTCTTGTTAACTTTCAGATGCAGCTGTATGTGATTTATAGCTGATTAACCATGTGGATGGATGATAACAGCCTTTTGAGACTACCAGGTGCCGAGGTCCCCTATTGGCCCATATATCAGCTCATAACCACTGATAATGCCCATTAAATTTAGTGATAAAATGGGATATCTATATTTACCCCAGCAGGGGTTGTATCAAATTACATTCACAAAAGCGATTTTTACATATACATTAAATGCAAGTGTGTCTAATATGTCACATGACATCTGTTAAAATGTAAAGTCAAAACATGAACTTAAAGATACGTTTTCTCATTTAATATGTTTGTTTTAAATGCTTAAAAAAATCTCTCTGACAAATGGGTCTGAAGGAAAGAGTATAAAATGTCTTAAAGTGTAAGTTATCCATCATTTAGTGTGTTTACAAGCAAAAACAATATTCTGATGTTATATGAGTCCTATAGTCTTTTTTTGTAAAACATTTGTGTAAAATAGTGCTTTAATGAACTTAAGCAGGCAGTCAGTTTCTTTTTCTTAGCCCAAATAAGACTGACATGTCTTATAAACACATTTAGTAATTTATTTACCATAATTGAAAAATATATATCTATGCATGTCCATTGTAAGGGTTATTATGATTTTACCACATATTTGGGTAAACTGTCAAGTTTTGGTGAAATGAGGACTGAACGTCATGGTCTGTGATGGTCTTACAGGTGAGTGGCCAGCCTCAGAAAGAGGTGTTTTTTTTCTTAAAATATGCAGTAATTTTTGCAGTAATTAGCCTCATTTTAAATTAAATTATGAAGTTTAAATACTTTTTAAGCTGTATTTTTTTTGCTGGATTAGCTTGTTAGGTGGTCATCAGCCACCTTTTTGATGTACCAAAAACATTTTCTAAAGATTTAGAAGAAAAAAATAGGTTAATACTTATTTTTTTCAAATACAAATGCTGTTCATTTTTATATAATTAGAAAAAGGATACTGTTAAAGGCTTAAATTAAAAACTAGCCTATTGTCGTTTATTAGGCAAACACAAACTGGCCAGCACATTCAACTTTCCTCAGTCACGTTGAAGCAACAGCCAAAAGAGCTTTCAGCTTGGTCTTAAAGTTTTTTTTGTATGGTTATTTTCTTAATTTATTATGGCATAGCAGTCAAAATTGGATAAATGAGCTTGTGTATGTCAGTAAGGGGTGGGTATTTTTGCATTATTATAATAATATTAAAAGGAGTTTGTTCAGATTTACTCACTAATTTACTCTTACTTTACCTTCAGGCCATCCCAGATGTAGAACATTAAAGATTGTTTACCTGAAACCGAAACCAAGGTCCTTATGTTATTCATGGTATGCAAGTCAACGCCTATCAGCACTTTGAGGGTAAAAAAAACTTATACAGGCAAAACAAAATGAATATCCCACTAATGGCTATTTTTTTACAATGCTTTAAAGAAGAAAAGCAATCTGAATGTGCAAAAAAAAAAAAAAAAAAAAAAAAAAAAAAAACTAAACATTCATTTATTTATTTTACTTCTGCTTAGTCCCTTTATTCATCAGGGGTCACAGCGGAACAGTGGCGCCCCCAGAAAATTTTCTTAGGGGTGGCCAGAAGAGGCCGCACCAAATCTTGGGGTGGCACAAAAAAAAAATGAATTCAGAGTAATGTTATATTTTTGTTTTTGGTAAATGTAATAATGTAGTTTTTATTCATTTAATTAATTCTTCTTGAAATATTGCTATTTATTCCTTGAAGTAATTCAGGAAGTACATGGTCAAACCAAATAAAAATCTATGTTTAGTTTAAAAACACTTTTCATATATATATATATATATATATATATATATATATATATATATATATATATATATATATATATATATATATATATATATATATATATGAAAAGTGTTCATTACTCAGTAAATATTCATATATATGCTTTTATTGTACATCATACGGTATATGCCAAGTCTAAAATGAATGAAGATTAATGAGTTTATTATTCCCAGAGATGGGTTGCAGCTGGAAGGGCATCCACTGTGTAAAAATGTGCTAGATAAGTTGGCGGTTCATTCCACTGTGGCGACCCTGGATTAATAAAGGAACTAAGCCGAAAAGAAAATGAATGAAAGAATAATGAGTTTATTAATAACCCAAACAAATGAACAAACTGAACAAAAGGCATTACTATATACACACTCACTATACCTAGTAATATCATTTATCCATATTTCTTTTTGAGCCATTTTATAAATGCAGATTCTTCTATTGTAACCTTAAGGTAAATATTAAATTGCCATTGCTGTCTATTGAAGGTGTGTGCGTGCTGTCAACGACGATCGGGAAGGGAGGTGGCGGTTCTAGTTTAAATGACTCCCTGGGCGAACCACCCTATACACCCCCACCTTCCTTGAATTGTTAGATTTGTTATTCAATAAATATAACAATTTATTTATAATTATTTTAAATAAAAAATAATAATATTATTATACAATTATTATTCTGAATTAATAATAGACATCAATCCTAAATATTATTGGAAAACAACAACTGGAGTGATATGCCAAGATAACTTAAGAAACCTTTTGCATGAAAATGAATAATGACAATTCTAAAGGATACAAAAAAATGTATTATAGAATTATCTGTGGTCTTAGACCAGATCATGGCTGAGAAATCATGTTATGAAGTCTTACCTCCCTGACGATTATCTCTCCTTTCTGCTTTAAAGGCATGCTTAGTGAAAGTAACATCATCATTATATTATATAAACTTTAGTCGACTTTCACCTCTGCACAAAAGGCTGTTACTCCGTTTCACGGCGCATGAGCGGCGCGTATTTTGTGGGCGTGCATGTAAACAACCAACCGGGATTCACACAGGAGTGCGTGAGGCGCGCGGGAATGGTTTTCTGCGCGCATGCGTCAGTTTGCTTTCACCAGCATTCAGCATTGAACCAGCACTAAGAGGGAGAGACAATGAATCAGCTACGTCAGTAACACCAACAATAATTTAGTGGCTGCATTTTATTTATTTAAATATTGGGAATTTATAATTTAAATCAATAATGTCAACAGCAAAATTATGTTGGGGTGGCCACAGGGGTGGCCAGAGTTTACCGAGGGGTGGCCGTGGCCACCCCTGGCCACCCCTTGGGGGCGCCCCTGCAGCGGAATGAACCGCCAACTTATCCAGCATTTGTTTTGCACAGCTGCACTAATCTGGGAAACACCCATACACACTCATACATACACACGCACACATACACACGGCCAATAGTTCTATAGTAGTAATAAGTAATATAGTAATAAGTCCTATAGTACATGTATTTGGACTGTGGGGGAAACCGGAGCACCCGGAGGAAACCCTACATCATTTTTTGGCTACCAATAGCTTTTCCACCATACTTTGTGTCTGTGTGTTCACAACAAGCTTCCTGCATTTATTATTAGTATCCACAATATAAGTATTATTCCAAAATCCAGTTCAGAAAATGCGACTTAACATCCATTTAAAAATATATTTTCCTTCCATTCATTTATATTTCTGGCTAACCCTAACCCTAACTCCGAAACTAAATCTCATCTCCGGCTTCCCCCTTAAATAACACTCCAAACATTTACACAACCAGTCCCTTTTTCCCAAAAGATGACTCTGGTATTTCCAGTTTACAACCTCCTCAACTGTTGATCCAGGCAAACAATTGAGTTTTTGGCCAGGTGGGGTCGGTAGTGAGCTTTAGTTGCGCCCCACAACGCCGCCGCATATTCTCCAATCCATCTACGCACTTTTGAGGACGTATCCACAGCAATGGGAGTGTCGGGTGACGCCGGAGCTTCGCTCACCGAAACGGTAGGCTTAAAGAGACAACAGCGAAGCCGGGCTAGTCTTTAGTGGAGAATTAAATCACTTTACATAGCCTAAATAAAGGACCATGTCGTGGCACACTACATAAGGGACTCACACGCAGGTAAAAACATCTTTACGTTTCCTCAGAAAAATCACTCCTTCGTTTTAATCGAAAGACTGAAAGGTTCGCTGCTAAACGGCTAATGTGATGTTAGCCTAGCCGGTGGGCTGCTAAGCTAGTTCATTTGGTGGAGGATTATTGTCATGTTTGTCTAACAAGGCTTGGAGTAGTTCAGCTGGTTTGTCGATATTTCATTTCCTTTTTGGATATGAAAGGGAATATATTTTGCTTCAGATGTGAAATGAAATCCATTTCGACGTGTGGTGGTGATATTTTGACGGGCTCAGCTAGACAGACACTCATTTTAAGGACGTTTTTAACCTAAGATAAAATCAAATAAAATATTCTGAATATTTTTAAACGCATTAGTTCTTAAACATATTTTTCAGTATGTATTTTTTTTTTGCCAGCCCGCGATGTAGAAAGTTTTTAAAAATGTAAAATAAATGATTTTATAGACGAATGTGGTGCAGGATTGATATAAATATGTTACATTTGACAGCTGATTTAAAAATGCCATCTGAGAAGTGTAGCATCAGCTAACTTACTAAAATCATCTGAGGAATTTGAAAACATTTTTGTGTTAAGCTTAAGGAAGTGAGGTATAATGTGATATAATCTCAGATTATTTTAGATTTCAAAAAAAGCGTCTAGTAAGTTATCAGACTAGACAGTTGTCAGCAAACTAGAGGAGTGTTAAACTGTGTCTCCCAGTTTCACATAGAGGCTAAACAAATTGTATGGAAAATCCGACTGTGCTTAAGGAAATAATTGACCAGGGAGCTCTCTTTTGTCTCTCAAGCCCTAACCAGCACCACACTACAGGCCTTGTAGATCAAGACAGAAGCTGTTTTATGGCCCCAGCTTCTCTTTTGGCCATCTGAGAAACTAGAGGTTGACTTCTCGGTTTTTACGCAGCCTCTAGCACTTGCATATTTCCTGTTTGCAAGCTACAACAGCTGAACTGTGATGCCTTGCTTGTGCTGAAACCTACTTTATTTTCACTTGGTCTTTTTCCAAATAAGCAGAAATAAGTCGTAAATGGGTTGTTTGCTGGCTTGTCTTGTTTTCTTGTAGGCACTGTGACTCAAAACAGCTGTGAGCTCTTACTTGGCAATCACTATTAGTCAAGCAATTTTAATGCCAGATTATGTGGTATTATGCTCATCATATTTTGCCTTTATCTGATGCACTTTTACATCAGGTGTTTTTTTATGATGACGTTCCAGTGTTATCTGTTATGTATCTTTCGCTAAATTGAAGCTAGAGTTCAGATTTTTTTTAATGATGTAGTTTGCCGTCTCGGTTTCAGCCAGTGATAAGTTGTTTCTGATCCAAGTAGATGAAAACATGGCTCATAATTAGTACTTCTAGTTCTACATATCTTGTAATTACATCTGATCACTATCTGAGTGTTTCCTTGTGGCATGACTTTTGCAATTCGCTCTTGTATGAGCTAGTAATAAGCATTTTTGATAAGGTGTGGTTGTGACCAACAGACAGATTTCAAACCTGACGCGCATTATGTACAAAATCGTGTGTCTTGTATGAAGTATCTTGTAGGGCTGTGCGATTTGGGGAAAATATCTAATTGTGATTTATTTAGTTATTTATATTTTTGACAGAGATTGCGATTGGATTTACGATTTATTTCAAGCTTCATGCTGATTTTAATTTAAGCTTCACCTCTTAAAGTTTGCCTGTTTTTGTTCGGTGTCTGACTTTGATACCAAAATATTCCCATATTGTAAATTATGTTTTTATTTGATATTATCTTTTAAAGTTTGTTTTCTTTTTTTATTGTGGGCGTAGTTCAGTTGCGCAATTTTAGATTGGGCAGAACGAAAGTGTGCTCACTCAATTCTCTAGTAAGACTGTCACACACACATTTGCTCTGGGCGGGGGACGTTAAATAGTACACACATTTCATATGGCACATTTCAAATTGCGATTCGATTTTGAATAATCGCACAGCCCTAGTATCCTATATCTAACTGAATGCAGTTTAGGGGTGCACGACATTGGAAAAATCTAATATTGCGATATTTATTGATTCTGTAATTTGTATTTTGGAATATGAATACAATTTCACTAGATAAGTTGAATAACTATTTGGAACACGTTTATAATTTTAGATTGATTGGGATGATTCTGTAGGGGAGTAAATAAATAATATACAAACATAGATACATTTAAATAAAGATAAGTATCCAGGTTAAATAAACAGCATTTTATTGTTTTATGAGGAGTCGAACTGTATTCAGACAGAAATACAGTGATTAAATTATCAAATGTAAAATAATACTAATAGTCTTCGACGTATAAACTATTGAATAAAATTTATTGTTATTTGTTTGTCAAAGTTACAAACGCTACAATAATATATACCTAAATGCTTTTCTAATCCACACACAGTCACAGGCCTCAAAAAACACTTGCAAAATGATAAATTATAATCCAGACTCAGTATTGTGTATACTTGGGATGTGGCTATTGCGAATGATCATATTGCGATATCGATGCTGCAATAATGTATTGTGCAACCCTAATACATATACTTAATAAAACAACATATTGTAAAAATGAACATGCATGATATTGGTTTTGTGGTCACTTCAAAATGCTGTAAATGATCATTTTTTATTTCAACTTTTGAAATGACTTTTAAAACATTCAGATTGCTGTATTTTAGTGGTTAAAAAATACATTTTCATGTTAATCTGGAGGACATGCCCAAGATATTGATTGAAGTATTTGATTGATATTGTTTAACAGTTTACAAAAGGCTCCATTTGTGAACATTAGTAAATTAAACTAAACTGACAATGAAAATGTGTGTTTATTAATCTTAGGTGATATACATTTCTTAGCTAATGTTTTAAAAAGCTAATTTGAATCAAAAGTTGTAACTGTTTCATTCAATTGAGGAAACAACTAATAAAGTTGAACCAACATTAACATAACTTCTGTGAAAATGTAGCTATATCTCACTGTTAATGCATTTAATGTATTGACAACCCATTATGATAAGACCATATTTTAAAGTTCCTTTTCCAGTTTACTTTGTTTACATGTGTGGCCACATATCACTGAAAATTGTTCAAAGATAATTTCTTGGATTTAATATATTTTTCAAGTTAAGTGGTGATCAATTTATCTGAGCTGAATTTAAACTAACCAATAAAGTTGAACATGACTAAACTTAATTGGTTCAAATTTAACATATATATATATTTTGCGACATTTTTGCAAAAATTATATTTTTTGTGTACCTTATTATTAGTGATTATTATTGTGATTATTCCTATTAAAGTAACACTTTTTTGCAGCTTATGTTAATATTGTGATAATAGCATATTTCATCATGATAAAAGCTTCAGCAGTTATTAAAACAAAAAAAGTTTATACTATCATTTGCCTAACTTTTTGTCCAAATAATTTTTTAATTGCATGGTGTCATTTACAGCTATTTTACTGCTCCCTATCGAGCCACCTCAATCCTAAATTATAAATATCAAACATGTTTGTATTGTCATGCAAAAACTGCAATACAACAGGGCCTACTGAGTGTCAGTCATGTTTGGTATTTGTTTATCTTATAATGTCATGTTTGATCATGTGGAAGATTATAATGTTACAGCTAAGCTGTGTTCTTCCATGGTTTTAAAATCAATTAAGATTTAGCGCTTAGTGTGTAAGAGGCCTTAGCGAACATCCCAATGCTGGCCACACTGCTGAAAGTGGAGTTTAGATTACTCTGTAAATATGTGCAGTGCATTTTTACAAAACAAACATATATAATTTAAAGTGGTAGAAAAAAGTGATAAGAACAGAGATAAAGAAAGCTTCTGACACTAGTGATATGTTTTTGTATGAGCTCTGTATTAAGAAGCTCTTCATTGGTTGAGTTTTTGTTCACAGTTGAAGTTTAGTGAGGCCTTAATTCCCTGCTTGTTCAATGGATTATATAACCCTCTGCTTATTATTCACCTTTGTGCAGCTTCTACAGCTTGCAATTAAGATCCAATGCATCCTGTGATTGATTTCATATTATGAATTGATGTATGGAAATTCAGTCTCTTTCCTAAAGGAATGGCCAACACCTCTGTAACTGATACAGAAGCTAAGCTGACGGGATTGCTGATGCATTTATTATTCTGACTGACATGACATAATTCTTTTTTGCTCTGGCTAAAATATTATAATTTTCTCCATTTAGAAAAATGAGCTGTGCATTAATAATCGAATTCACTGAATTTCTGATTCATTCGTCACTTGCTGAACAAACACCGCCTTGGATGTTGAAATTAAATAGTAAATTCAACCTCCCACCCTTTACATGAAGATTTTTTTTTTGTTCTTCTGTGAGCTGATTGTCTATTTCTCATCAGTTCTTGTCTGGTGTCCTTTTACAGCCAGTCAGGCCGCCATTGATCGTTTTAAGTGCATTTTCTGAAGGAAAGCGCAGCCGTCTTTCCAATAGTTCTTGCACCAACTCTTTCCATTTACATTAACAGTAGTGCTGACCCTGGATATGAAAGGGGGGGGTGTATAACAGAGATCCCTGACCTTCTACATCGCTTCCCCTCTCCATTATCAAACACACAGGTGTCGTCAAAGTTCCTGTTGGAATTGGAATCTGATACGGGCTCTGTTAGGCTTGTAATTCTCAACCGTTCTGTTCTTCACACTCTGAAAAAAGTCTCATCACTTGGAGGCAGACCAGCTAAATCTGTTGGGATAATGTCTTAAACTCTTATTGCCAAAACTGTGATGGGGTGTTTTTTGTTTGTTTGTTTGAAGTAGCATCCATTTGTGTCTCCTCAGCTTGTGATTCCCTTCACGGCATTGGCTTGTATGCAATACTTTGTCTTTTGCTATTATTGATTAGGTTTATTGGACCTTGAGGTTATATGAAAATGGATGCCATGAACATCAACAACCAGGATTGATGTTTGTGCTTTAAAATGATCTCATCATGCCTCTGTTCATCATTATGCAGCGTGCTTTATCTATTTGAAATGTATGGCTCAGTTTAATAATAATGCATGGAAAAGTTAGTAATTAAACTGAGGATACATATCATATTAAACTGACAGATTGTGTAGAGGTTTGTTTAGTTGTGTGTTGTTTAATTTACTTTTGACTAATTTAATTAATTTATCAATCTTTGAGATTATATAGTCACAGGTTTATTATTCAGAATTAATTTCTGTTTTTGAGTATCATATAATTCTCTGATTGTCATAATCTGCTGCCTGCTTTTATGCAAAATGTTATAGTTTTTATTTTTTTCATATGATTTTGTTATTTACAACAAAATAGTTTTGACACAATCTACATTGTAAAAGCGCTATACAAATAAAGCTGAATTGAATTGCTTTAAAAATTGCTTTAAAAATGAAAAATTTTCTTGTGATTTTTATTTTATTTTATTTTTTTAAAGTTTAATTCTAAATAGTTTTTTTTTTTTTAAACAAAAATGAAAACATTTTTAATAAATGTATATTTAAATAAAACGGTCAGTATGCGAGATGTTTGGGCAGGATTGTTACTGGACTTAACGGGCCAGTACTGCCTTGTCACAAAAGGTTAATTGGGCTAAGACCGTTTGTCAATTGCCCCCTCCCTACGCCCCGCCCTCCTTAGTTACTGTTGCTGTGCCTGTCAAGCTTTCATGCGCATAGCTACGATTGCTAAGCCACGATTGGTGGGTGGCGGTTTAAGGGTGTGGCTTAATGAAGGGTCGATTGCGTGCAAATACAGTCCATGGTTTTCGCTACATTCATTCTTCCATAGCGGGGCGCCACACCAAAATTCATTACATCTTCTCATTCAAAATATTCAGTCATTGCTGTTTTTTTTTAAATAGCGGGTTATAATTGCACTAAAACGTATTAAGATAAATTAATTATAACAGCGCAAACTTTTCTGCAATCATTCTGTAATGTAGTAGTGCTGTGCATAATTTTTGTAAAACCTTTAATGTGACATGACAGACTGACTGACTGACAGGGGCATGATGTGTGAGGCTAGCAAACACGATGCTGCTTTCAGTTATGATGAACACAGTTTCCATAATTGTACTTCATTTATAGATAAAAGTCTATGGTTCTGCATACAATGAGTTTATCTTGCTGGAATTTATAGCCGTTTTACTTTACTTCAGGACGCATTAATGTTACTCTGTAGGTCTATTGGAGACATTCTTACATATTCCTAGCAAATCTAATAAATGTTGGAGACATACTTGTGACATAAACGCATCAAATTGCGCTTCAGCAGCATATATATATATATTTTAGAGCAAAGAACAGAGGAAATCTGCATGCAAGCAAAGAGATTCGCATGCTCGTATGACATGATTGTAATCTCGATTTGTAATACTGTGCTCACGATGTTTGTCATTGAAATAACACCATAGGTAGTTGGTAGATCTGTGTAAAAGGCCTGCCGCCACAGCTGGAAAATAAACTAGAGGAAACACTGCAGTCTTAGGGTGCTTTCACACCTTGACATTTGTATTAGAACCTGTCTCGTTTGCCCAGTTATTGTGATTCGTTTGGGATATGTGAATCCTGCAATCGCGTTTAGATCCGCACCAAATCAATCTTTCCAAAATCGCCTGAATGAGGTGGTCTCGGCTCGATTTGAAACAAATTTTGTAGCGAATCGATTGTAGTGAGGAAGTAAAACAAACTAACGAACCAGGCTATATCACATTGAATTATGGTTATGTAATAGCCATATATATGGCTATATGAAGAAAGAATTATGAGTAGAGCGGGATGTCATTCCTATTCATAAATGTGTGTTTCATGTCAAATACAAAAGTGAAAGCATGCTGAAATATTACAGAGTGCTGTTTATTTGTTATAAAAATAGACTTATAATTGTTTGTATTAGGCCTATTGTTTTGTTCATTTCTGCACTGAACCCGTGAAAGAAAGACCAGCATTGCAATCTGCTTCATGATTTGACAACAGTCTATCTCTCTCTATAATTAAATCCTATAATGCATAATTCTAGCCAAATTAATAATTTTTTATAAATTTATTGATTCAATAGATTGATTTTTTACAAATTTATTTACATCACAATTGTAATTTTTTAAATCGTCAGTTGTTTTTAAGCAAAGTTATGCTGAATAAAAAGTGTATGTACACCATTATGTTTGGCTTTTTGACCTTTTTTTTTTTTTTTTTTTTTTAAACTAATTTTGGCTGGACAAGTAAAAATCTGAACCAGTGGGGCCAGTAGAAAAAATTCTTAGCGTTGACTGGTAGATCTAAATGTACGTTTGATTAATTAATATTGATCAGTATTCTGCTTTTGTCTTTCAGGGAACGAGAGGACGTCAGGCTATACTTCTGGATCTGGAACCTGCTCAAGCTGCTGGTTCTGTCCACGTCTGCACACAGCAGTGTTAGATAATGAAGAATGTTCACCGTATTACCCAGGACTGACTTCAAGGAAACCATGAGGAGCACAAGGGGACGTTCACTTGTTGGGTTCCACTAGCAGGAATTGTGTATGTCAGTGTTGAGGAGTCTGTGTGGGTGGATGTGTGTGCGCGTGCGTGTGCGTCTGTATGTGTGCGTATGCTAGCATCACCTGCCTGCTTCAGGCAATGACATGCTACTCTGAGGACTACTGTACAGTAAAGGATTCCCATCCACCCAAGGATTAATGCAGGGTCGACACTTTCGGTGATACCCACCGCATCTGCAGAAGACATCGCTTCCTGCTCCGCAGAAATCACCGTTATATAGATACTTTGAAATCTCTTCACCTGTTGTCTTCTGGCTATCGTCCCCACACATTCCCTTGGGGTTGTTTTGAAACTTCTCTGTTTTGCATGGCAGGGGAGTAACCGTGGAGAGGCCAGGGTATCACAAGCTTATGGATTTTGAGAAGCGAGGTGGGAAGGGAGAGACAGAGGAAGTAAAAAAAATGTCGAAACCAACCGGTAGTAGGACTGGGGGCCGGGGAACAGGGAACTCTGGGGTCCTCATGGTCGGCCCCAACTTCAGGGTTGGGAAGAAAATCGGCTGTGGAAACTTCGGTGAACTGCGGCTGGGAAAAAACCTTTATACAAATGAATATGTGGCCATCAAACTGGTAAGTAGAAAACTGAAAATGTGTTTTTGGGAATATCTTTTGTTTTGGACAACGTTCATCTTAAAATTGCTTCTTTTAAATTATGATAATTTAAATATTAAGCTAGACTTTATTTGCTGTAGTTTTACCTTTAGATATTAAAATATACTGTTCATGCCACAAGTTATTTCATTGGGTATGCCATCGATTAAATGGTTCTCACCAAAATAACAATGGGCTATATGCACAGCTAGTGTTTTCACCTACTGATGAACATTCGGTGAAAGCTTAATGTGGCTATTTTTAATTTCATAAGGTTCCTTTTACAACATAGTATTTAGGGTTGTAACGGTATGAATTTTTCACGGTATGATAATCGTCTAAAACAATACCACGGTTTGACGGTTTCGCGGTATACGGTATGTTACAAATGTTACAAAATAATAGAACAGTGAAGCAAATTTGACTTTTTCCAAATAATATATTTTTAGTTACTATAAACAACACCACTTACAATGAACAAATAAAAATAAGAAAATAATAAATAATGTGTCAAAGTCCAAATAAAGTCCAAATAAACATGGTGCAAATCCTCAGTAAAAAATAGATATAAATATTTACTATACTATAAATAGTTACATAACGAAACTAGATTCAATATGGAACATCCTTAGGTTCTATGTGCCAGCATGGATTTGGATGTGGTTGTATGCAATGCAGACAAACAGCTGCATCTTCATTTGCGTCTTTTGAAAACAGCAAGAGCAGCAGTTCGTCTTTGCTGTGTCACTGTTTTGTCATGTTTCTGTGCTGCTGTGCATGCAAAAGTACTTAGTATGAGAATTATTTCATGCAAAACTTTTTTTTTTTTGCGTTTTATTTAGCCGCGCATAAATGTATGCCTTTCTCTCATTCCGTGTTGTTCAAAAAGCTTGGTCCACAAACAAAAGCGAAACCTAGGCTTATTGGTTGTGATATAGCGAGTTTGAACCAATCTGGGCATGGAGGAGGGACAATGCATCAATGTATCATGTCTGATTTGTCCGGAGACACAGTGACGAGCGTTTCTTTGTCAAATCAGCATTGTCAAATGTTGATGACGTAACCGCACTGATTCCGGAGCCGAATGTTATGTGATACATCACTGGAAAGCTGAGATTCTCTTCTTTATGCCAATCTTTGAATTGTATGAATCGGATCAGCGGATCAAAAGTTATTAAACATTTAAGAGCAATACTTATTTTTAGCCGCGGGCGGCTGTCTCGGTCTTTAAGGGTTAAAACCGTTGATATGCAATTGTTCATGGTATGATAATCGTGCACGTTCAAATCGTGGTAAACCGTCATACCGGTATATTGTTACAACCCTAATAGTATTATATGTAATGTAATTAAAATATAATCAGTTAAATAGACTTAAGCATCCATTTTGTTGTTAAAGCGTAAAAAGAGACGAAAGGCTGTTTAAACCAGGCCCCGTCATTAGCAGCAAGCTAGCGCAGGAATTCCATTGAAAATACTGGGGTACAATTTCATTCCATATTTTAAAGACATGGCACAGAAAAATATAATTGAACACAGTGCTTCTTGTTTGATCTGATGCCCACTTTATATCATATCTCAGCCAGGCAGTGAAGATGGCTGATTTAAAAAAAATTAAGATTAGATCTTAAATGTGGCGATTTTGTATGGGATGGGATGACAATTAACCCTCATACCTCATTAGCAGTTAAAGGGATAGTTCACACAAAAATGTAGCTGTGGTATGTTCTCACCCTCAAGTGGTTTTAATTTTTTTTATTTTGCTGAACACTGAAGAACCTATTTTGAAGAGAGTTGAAAAAACTGTAACCGATGACTTGAATAGTAGGAAAAACAAATACTGCCAATGGGATTTTTCATCAAAATATCTTCTTTTGTGTGAACAGATGAAAGACAGACAAATAGGTTTGGAACAAGTGAAGGGCGAGTAAATGATGACAGAAATTTCAGTTTTGGGTTAACTACCGCTTTAATTTATTCACTCTCAGGCAATTTATAGGTCCATGTGTTCTTAATGAAAAAGATCCATGACGTATATTGTGTAAACTGTATCAATCCATTCTTTAAATGTAAGTGACTCTAACCTTTTTTTTTATTACTTTTTTACTAGCTGCCAAAAGAATAACAGTTTCTTTTCTTTATTAATCCATCCATCTAAATTTATATTACCTAAATATAAAGATTCACAAGTGAAGGCAATCTTTGCTTCAAAAATGGCATCTAAATGTATTTTAATCTCTTTCCAGTATGGGGTTAATTTCTGACAATCCCAAAAAACATGATAGTGAATAGTTTTCCCCCACACATTCTACCGCAGCCAGAACTCTTTTTCTCTATGTATTTTCGGTGACGGTGTGATAAAAAACCTTAGAACATTCTTCCAACAGAATTCTCTCCACATGCCTGAGCTGGTACACTTCCTTTGAGTTTTACAAATATTTCCCAAATCCTCATCTGAAATTTTCAGATTTCCTTCCATTTATCTTTAACATATAGTGTATTGTCTGGTACAGATTTGCAAAATCCCTTATATCATTTTGAAATGATCTTTTTACATGATTGGTTGGGCCTTGCCCACTGATAAAAACACATTTAGTATTCCTGTCGCTGCAACTTTAAATATTTCTGGTTTAATTTTACCATTAATATAATGTTTACTTGAAGGTATCTATAAAAGTCACTTTGACTTAACCCATATTTTTGCTTTAAAAAATTCAAAAGTTTGGATACCCTTGTCAAAAAAGTGTAGTAGTTGGAAATTCCTCATCTATTTGGTTAGGGATGAAATCAGTATCGAAGGCACACCATCTTAATATTTCTGAAAAGCTTCCCAAATCCATATGCAGAGGTGTAAATGCAAAATTTTGGTATCATTTTTAAAGAAAACACTTTTGATTTTCATAAAACACTGTTGAAAATTATTAAAATAATTGTACATGTTGTCTGTGTTACAATAAATCCCCCCAAAAAATGAGGCGCTTTTTTTGTAAACTCAAATTTAATTAAATTGATTTTGATGGTCCTCTGAAAAAAGAAAAATGTCTTGATCATAATCCTGTGCAAAAGTTATTCTATAACTGATGAGAAAATGGAACCACTTATGGCAGTATTGGTCCAGTATGGAGCTTTAAATTGTAAAGAATGCAGAAGTAAATGATGTCACAGACCCAGTCACGGACTCCACATCAACAGGAAGTGTCATGGCGGTTATGTAAATACTGTCAGTCAGTGTAACTGTTAGCAGATTGAGCCTGAATCAGACGGGTCTAGGTTGCTGTAATTAATTTAGGTGGTCCTATGTAAAAAGAACAATGTCTCGATCATAATCAAGGCATAGTAATGGCAGCATTGGGCCAGTTGGGAGCTTTAAATTTTAAAGAATGCGGAAGTAAATGAGGTCACGGACTCAGTACCAGGTATGCAGAATTTAAAGGACTGAGGGGTTAGAAAATGTACTGCAAATTTCAGTTTTTGTGCAGACTATCCCTTTAACATCGTCTCCTTTCCAAATCACATCGCTCAGATGATCAGTCCTCATATATCTTTACAAGTTACTTTTAACATAGCTATTATAACTTCAGAAACATATTTGGATAATATCTAATGAGAAAAGCGCACAGACGCACGCACCCTGTTTAACATTCAGAAAGTGCAATAAATCATGACTGTTTGTTGACATTTACTCAATTTTTATTTCCTCTTAATGAGCAAATAAGACGTTTATTGATGGCTGGCATTATGGAGTTTTCATTTGCAAGAAACCAATTATATTTTTTTACGTTTTGCTACCTTTGGCTGACTGTCAGCGTAAGGTTAAAAGCCTTTTCTCTATGCAGAGTGAAATGTTAGATAACCTGAAGTACGTTTAGGCTTTTTTGGGCCACTATGATACATGCAAATGAGTTGCAAGCAAATTGTTTATCCATACCTTGCAGGAATCTATTGGCTGACCTTGCAATGAGTGATCATTATGACGTAACTCTTCACACTCTCTGTGGGCTCAGTTTGGCCTCGAAAACATGAGTAAACATGACAAGGGCCTTTGAGGAAATCGGCGTCCAAAATCCATTTTCATCCTGGGACGCTTCTCTCAGATGTGTGAAGAGATTTTGCCACCCCAGGGACTGTCATGGCAAACTGGATTTCTTCAAATAGTTTTGTTCGTGGAGCTGTGCTTGATTTCATATACTGCACAAAAGATATTTGAAACTCCAGTTTGTGCTACACCCAAACAGAAGCTCAAAGTCCAGTGCTATTTAAAGTCAATGTTGTGCTTTATTATTTGATGGGAGTTTTATAGGGATCATTTTAAGCTGTTAATGGGAGGTCCTGTTTGCTGGGAAATGACCGTCGAGTAACTTTGCACCATGAGAAAAGGGATTGTCATAGATGGCGTTTGCACACTTAGTCGCCCTCCTCTCCGGATCCTCCAGTGAAGGATATGATTATCTTTGCATTAGTAACGTCATAGGGCTTCATTATCTTTGCATTGTTGCCTATCAGAGTGCTTTTTAACTGCTCAATGTGAAGTCAAGCACTGTCATTTTAAGGATAAAATAATTTAGTGGAACGATTCACCCGATGACGCTGCATTTCTGTCAATTTTCTGTTTGTTTTTTAGCTATAACATAACTTGAAAAGGGTTGGGGAGTATAGCTAATAGGAAGCTAAGTATTAACCTTTAGATATTAGCTCAATATTACCTACTAACGCCTTGCCTTTCAGGTTCTGAAAGTAGTATCTTATGCAGACTAGTAAATGTGAAATATTATTTAAAATATATTTTTAAATAAATATTAAAATATTACCTAAAATCAAAATATCAATTAATTGAACAATTTATTATTAAGATTAATGAATAATTATGTTATTTGCTTATTTTGGCCCCATCGATTACTGACAGGTTTTGTACAGTGAATATGCTTCTGAATGAAGGGAGATTTCTGAATGAACGGTGCATTACTTGATTTTAAAATAACT